TTAGTTAATAAGATTCAAAAACTCATCATTTTAAGGGACTTTAATCAGAGAATTGCTCCTCATGTGTTTTTGTTCCTTAACTTCGGTGCTTTTTTCCCCAGCACAGAAGGAAATACTTAGTGTATATTTCTTCCTGAGGTGCACACTGTAAATATACTGTGAGTCAGGGAAACACTGGAAAGTTCCAAAGCTGGCAAATCATTTCAGAAGGAAAAAGTCATCAGGAATATGAGACTCTACAGAAACAGATGTAAGAATTACTTTTTATAAATTTTGTTGCCGAACTTTTTCCTAATTTTCCAGTTTTAGGAATTATGTAGGTGTACGGATCAGGATGGTTCAGGAGAAAAAAGATGCTTAGGCTTTAGAAATTTAAAAAGACTTAAGGAAGGGAAATATTGCAGTGATATTGTATTCAAACACGATTTCTAAGTATTCTTGTTTTAAGGCTTACATAGTTTGGCAGCACAGAAATAGGTGGACCTCATATCTGCTCTCACTAGGAAAGATTGGAGCCATGTCGAAGTGAAAAGAAAGTAAAATCACTTTAACATTTGTACTTTAGATTTTTTGTATGGCTTTCAGCTTGTTTTCTGTGTAAACTGAAGAATTTTCTGTGTGTGCACTACAGGTGGTTATTCAACCCAGGGCCCCAGCTGGCCTCAAACTGGCCTCAGCCTCCTAAGTAGTGAGGATTATAGATATGTCCTCATGCCCAGTGTTTTTTTCTTTTTAACTTATTAGGCAAAATCAATTTGCTATAGAACTAGAAATCTTGTTATTCTTCTCATACATAATTACAATTATTTTACATAAAATCAAATATGATTTGCAGAAAATAAAATTTTAGGATATAGACATGAGAGTAATTTAATGAGTATTTTAATTGTGGATTATCACTGGCATAGAACCAGAGTGAATTATCAGCAACATACAAACACATAGTATTTATTAGAGTTAATTGATCATTATATTATGATTAATATTAGTATTTTTATAAATTGTGTAAGATTATATTTAAATTGATATTCATGTTATTTTTAAATTATTCATATTAGGCATATTAAATATAGAAGTAGAAAGTAGAAAGAGGCCTTAGGGGTTTTGTGACCATCTTTGCCCACCATAGGAGCTCCTTTCCTGTCTCCCTGTGGGCGCTTCTGGGGTGGAAGTCTCACGAGCTTAGGAGGGCATCTGCTACAGAAGAGTTAGAAGCACCCATTCTAGCTCCCTATAGTGGTTGCATAAATGGAACACCGGAGGAGAGTAGTAAAACACAGGGAAAGAATCCTAAAGAAGCTCCCGTCTTCGCAGAGGCCCTAGCTGAGAAGTTTAAATACTGACCGGAAGAGGGACAGACCCCATTGCTTCCCAAGTCCCTGGCATCACCTTTCAAGAATGCAGGAAAAGTGCTGAGCAAATTACAGAGGACTCGAGTACCATGTTTTCTGATACTTTCTGGAATCAAGCTCACACACTCTCTTAGGCTCAAGGTCTTTAGGTACATTTATTTAGTGTCTGTTTGCTGGATTCTTAATACAGAGGCAGTTGATTATACTGATTAAGATTCTCAGTGCTGCAGCCAGCCTGTCTGGGTTCAAATTCTGCCTCTTAGAATTTCTATCAGGGCTTTGGGAATGTTGCTGAATTTCTCGAGGCCTTGCTTTCCTTATTTCTAAAATGGAAATAAAATACTGCTTTATTATGATGGCTTAGTTTGATAATGAATGCAATCTCAGTGTGCAAGGAAATGGCATTTACTCAATAAATGTGACTTTTATGATAGAAGCTACACATTTTACCAATTGTTGTACATTCTTATGTTAATAAGAAAGGATTTAAATACCCCAGTTATTGAGAGGGGAGGCCTGAGGTAAAGTTAAAACATAGCAATGCATTAAAAAACAACCATAACAGAATGAATCCAGGGAAAGATCTCTTCTTTCCACTAAGATGCGTATTTCACCTGATTCCTTAAGTACCTCACAAAAGTCAGTCTTTATCCCACAGTCAGAGAAAGATAGCTTAAAAGTACATACTCAGCTGGGCTTGGTGGGGCCGTATGTAACTTGTAATCCCAGCACTTTGGGAGGCAGAGGCAGGAGGATCACAAGTTCAAACCCAGCCTGGGTAACTTAGTGACTCAGCATGACCCTGTCTCAAAAAATAAAAAAACTGTCTGGGGATTTAACTCAGTGCTGAGATCCTGAGTTCAAACCCCAGTACTACAAAAGCAAACAACCTCCCTGTCTTAGTTACTTTTCTTATTGCTGAGACAAAATACTCGACACCACCCAAAGTTAAAGGAGGAAAGTCTCACAGTTTGTAGAGGTTTCATTTCACAGTTGGCTGGCTCCAAGGCAGAGTAGCATGACAGAGGGGCATTGCAAAGGAGAAACAGTCCATGGCAGGCAGAGAGCAGCAAGACATGAAGTAGCAAGCAGCAAGCAACTGCACAGCTGGCTTCTTTCTGTCTCGTATAGTCTATCCAGTCTACATGCACTTAGGACAGGTATCAGTCACACCCATGGTGGGCCTTTTCATTATCCACACTCAGAACTATGCCAGACCAATCAGTGGACTCATTTAGTCATCACACACCCTTGGTCCCAGCACCATGCAGTCTGGATCCAGCCACCTTTGCAAACCCCCACCTATGACTGCATGAGGCTCTAGGCACAAGCCATAAAACTCTCCCCCCCCCAAAAAAAAAACCCCACACACATTTTATGAAGCTACTTAATGTATTATACTTGGATTTGTGGTTAATCAAAGGTGCCAGCCTGTATGGTTCTGAAAGAAGTGGGAGATGGGGGCAAGAAGGTGGTGGGAGCAGTGCTGTCGAGGAGGAAGAAGCAGATGCCCATTCCGAAAGCACTGGAGCAAGTACACCAGTGCACCTTTCCTCCCAGGTCTGTCCAATTTCTCTGAATGTAAATTCCTCCAACAGATCACTTCTCCTGGGCCTGAAAATATCTTCCATAATGAGAAATATTCCCACAAATATTTTTGACGGTTGTTTCTAGTTTCTTGGTGCTTTCATTTACAATTAGAGGGAAAAAAGGAAATTGGGCCTGTGTTCGAATTTGCCTTGTTATCGAGCGAAGTCCCCCTCTTCTCTTTAGTCCCCCTCCCCAGCGGTCTCTTCCTTTTCAAAGCACCACTGTCCTTTGAGGCAAAGCTGGGAGTCAGCTTCTGCCACCAACTTTCCAGTTGCTGTGACCCTGCCTCCTGCTGTAGTCTTGGCTCAGATCGTCATCCTTCACATAGCACTCTTGATCAGTCACATACTTCCACTTGTCCTCTCTGGGAGCTTCCAGATGATCTCTCCAAATCCCCGTCCACCCTTTCACTCCATGCTTACAAGTCCCCAATATTTCTCCTTCATCTACAAAGGGAGTATCTCTCTCTTTAGCAAGCTGCAGATGATTTCTAAACTCCTGTTTAGCCTAAGAGAACCCCTGCTGCACCTTCTCCCTGTCTCTTTGGTAGCAGCACTGAACTACCACAGTCCCCACGATGTTCCCTTCTGCCTAAAATGCTTGTGCTCTTTTTCAGTTCCCTTTCTTGCTGACAGATTCTGCAGGACCCTTCTAAAATGTGACTGCTCCATGACATTTCCTCTGACATCCAGAAGTTTCTTCCACGTATCAGTAGTTGTGTGTTCATTCATCCATCCACACGCTCTAAGTTTTAAAAATATCTTGTCTCTTTTCCTTCGAGGTTCAGGAAGGAGCAGTCAGTGTTTAAACCTCAATAGCAGCGCCAGGTTTCTCAGAGGCTTTTGATATGTTGACTGTTGAATGGCTCCATGTCCAGACTCTTCGTTAGGGCTAATAAAATACCACCTGCTAAGGTCCTCCTCAAACACAGTTTACGTCCCTTACCTTCTCTTCTGACCGCCCTTTTTTCTGCTTTCTTTTTCTCAAGACCTACAGACATTTTCCCTTCTGATTGGAATTTTTAAAATATCTTTTTCTATAATGTCCAGTTTATTTTATTGTAGTTGGCAAGGTCTGAAATTCTAAGGCAAGATGTGTGTCTATTCTCTACGGGATTTCAGTAATTCACACAATAAAAAGGATAGAGACAAACAGACTTCTTTCCTCTTTAAACCTAGTTAATATCAGATGATGGAAATGATGGGAAATCGATTGGGACCAGGAGGAAAGTGATTTAGGGGGCTGGAGCCTTTGCAGTTTGAAAGGGAGGGAATGAAAGGGGAGGAGCAGGAGTGAGGCCATCAGCACAGTTTGGGGTTCTTGGAGCACCAAGCTGAGCGCCAGAGCGATGAACTAGAAGGATTGGATGGGGTGGGAGGGTGCCAATGACTTGATTTCACCTGTCTTGAGAATTTTCTATTGAACAGTTTTCTATTCTGGCGTCGGGAACCGTATTGCAGATACATTATGGGCAAATCTTGGGCCCCAACACGGCCTTTGAGAGGGAAATGTGTCACATTTTACAGCCTTATCAATAAAGGGCAGGAGCCACCTGCTCCTAAGTAGAATGGCCATAAAGTACATGCACAGTCAATTGAATTTTTTCTTTTTGATAAATGAAAAGATTGTATTTAAAAAGATTCAATGAGACTCCTTTAAGAAAAAAGAAAAGTTGATATGAAACAGCAGGATAATAATTGAATAGATTATGGAGCTATAGTCACGAAGAAAGTTGGAAGAAAGCTGCCTCAGAGTAAATTGTGTTAAGACCTGACTTAATTCGCACACTTGATGGCGACCAGAGGGAGCTGACGATGTTTTGGGAAGAAGACAAAGCGCGCACAGGAGGAGGCAGTAAGTTTTGTTGGGAGATGTGCAGCTGACAGGCGGTAGGAGGGAAGCTATGTGGGACTCACGCGATACCTTCGTGGGAGGGAGTTGGCAAAGTGGGTGATTTTCAAGAGATGTTAACTATCCCCGCGTTTCCTGCGAGCCTGGGACTTGCCTTACTCTGTACGTGCTCCTTGATGTATTTCAGTACTTGAATCCTTAGCAGGGAGCCGCCTAAGTAAAGGTGTGTGCTTTTCCAAAGTAAGCGCTACTAATGCAAAATTTCATCAAGTGCAGACGGAACGACCTTTCTCGGGGTAGGGGTTGTTTCATTCTCAGTTGTGTACAGTTTCAAAAGGCCTGCGGAAAGGAGCCGTTTCACTTCCCCAAGCAGTGGACCGGACGCCCCCAGGTTTGCACGACGCCCCCCGCAGGGCAGCGTCGCTGCGCCTCGGGTTACGGGAGCGCACGGCCGGAGGGCGCCGCCCCCAGGGTCCCGACCGCAGCCCCTCCGCCCG